TGAATCTCAATGAATGTAATACCTACTGCACGTATATAAAAGCTTCAAAAACAAAACTATTGGTAGCAAAAAAGATCCCCTGAAGAATAAAACAACACTGATTCAAAAGCAAACATAACAAAACGTAACCAGGCACTAAATAAATGTCTGCGTCATATACAACATAAACCCTCGGAGTAATAAATCCGCAATGTTTTGCCACAGGATTTATTACCAGAAAACTTTATCTAGAACTTAGGCCATCCCCATAAAATGTTTCGTTTCCCATCGCCCGACCGACCCATTTTTTTGGAAAAGTAAAAAAAAAAATTCCAGAATCACTTGTAATTAAGCAAGTACTTTAATTTACAAGCACACGATCTTGTCTTATTAACAACAGTTGTCTTAAATTATCATCTATACTTCGTTTTTGTAGCCTTTTTAGACATTTGAGAGTCCTGTTAATATTCATCTTTTACCATCTGATCATATCTTGCAGACTAAACGTGAGATTTAATATGCAATCATGTGTTCATTCGTTTTTTTTTTTTTTTTTTTTTTTTTTTCCNTTTTATAGGGATGGCCTTATGTTGTAGTTGAAAGGTGCCTTACGCTGCAGCGTCTCGAAAAGCGGCAAAGTTGCCTCAGTCAGTGTGTTAGACATCAGGAAATTTCGAGGGTAATTGAATATGGTTTAACTGCTTAACGTGTAAGAGTTTGACATAGTATATGGAATATCGAGAAAAGCCAGACGTAATAGTAAATATCGATTTTTTTTTTCCTTCAGAAATGATGAACAAGGAGATGAGGAAAATGTAGAAACAAACTTATTCATTTCAGCTTCAACTATGCGGTAATTAACTTTTCTTTTTCTTTGCCGCACTTAAAACCACTTTAATGCACTGCAAATTGCATTGGACTCATTCTACATTTTATTAGTTCTAGAAAGAATCAGTCATTTTCTTTTGCTTATAGTTAAACACTATAGAGCTGCGCCTTTTTTTACTACTTTTGAGACACAAAGAATCATTTTCAAGTTAAAAACTAGCACTTACTAGCATATACCAGAGCACAAAGTCCATAAGAAATCCACACAACGAAAACAAACAACTTCATGGAGGCCATGGGAGCTTTTGCTAAGTTTTTAACTTCCCTCGTGATTGCTAAAGTCTAATTTTGAATAAACCTTAAAGAGTTCCTGTTTTCTTCGTTGCACTAATTAACAAAATATCTCATTTTAATTTCAGATTGTTATTTCTTGAAATCGTGGACTGGTTCATTTATATTAATTAGCACTACAGCATTTTATTTTACTTATGCATCCTCTCTTGATCACTTATTGTATTTTTAATATCATCATTATTTATTTGTTCATAATGATCTCTGTACCAAAACCTTTAAAGAATCACGCAATTTTTGAAGATTTTTCATTTTATTTTATTTTTTTAGACCGTATTTAAATCTTCAGGTGGGTTTCAATTAGCTGAAAATGTTAAATTTGATCTGTTAGTTTATTTCCCTTACTGGTTGTATATTGTTCACTGCAGGTACAGGCCGATTTTTAAATTGAACCTTCACACTAAATATTCAGATGGCTTTACTAAGGAGTTTCTGTCCAATGCCGGATACACAGGCATCTATCCCCCTCGTCTGTGACGAGCAGTGAACAGTTGAAGAATATCACACGACTGTAATTTTAAAAAAATGCTTTCAAGCACTGTACTTGTGCAAACGAGGTTGCTAGTCGAACTACCATAAGATATCATTGATAAGATGTTCTCTCCAGAAATGTTTTTAGTCCAATTCTACATTTAAGCTAGATCTTCCTTTTCCGCAACGGTGCACACTTATGTCACTCAATTGTGTTTTCCATATACTGTTCCAACAACGACTTGTAGGAACATCACCTATGATTAGTTTTTTACTTTAATGAAGAGACAGAGGGTGTCACGGGGACACAGTGTATTGATACCGCTGAAGTTGTAATTTTTAGGGTTTGCTGTGATTTAAAGTACAGAGATGGCGAACATTTTATAACTGTATAGTTTACTTTTCCACCCATCATCGGGAATATTTCACTACCAACTGACACGAAATTGTTGCTCGGTAAAAGCGTAGACCGTAGTCTTACCTGAGGATTGAATAAATTACACACTGGGCCTGTCTTCAGATAACCAGGACGAAAACTGATTATTGCGCTCACAGTTCGGTGAACCAAAAACCGAGGGTGGTCGAATCCCAGGATATCTGTCAGGTTGAAGAAAGGGTAGGTTTAAGATACAAGTCGAGTTCGTGCATAATCTGACGCAAGGGAGATGTTTTAGTTGTAAGGTCTTGGAAAAGGTAATTCAATTTCTGCTTAATTTTTCACTTCTCTTTCCTTATTTTTTTTTTCTTATTAACCGTAAAGTTTGTTATGTCTGACTAGAAATTCGAACAAGAGAATATTATCAAATAATTTTTATTGTCCATACTAGGTCAGTAATTGTTCAAAAATAAGGGCCTTTGATCGCTGGAAATTATTTCATAACACGCTCACGACCTTACCTTTAAGCAGTGGACTATTTCATTAAAAAAGAAGTAGATGCTTGTTACTCTATCCCGCTCTTCTGTGGTCTAGAATCAACCCCATTTTCCAAATTTTTTTCTCAGACGAAGTTAAACACTGGTGTTGATAAGTAAATCCTCTTGACGAGAAGGACTTGAAATTATTAAAACATCATGGGTAAATAAAGGAGAGACAACGCTCGATGGTTCTCCAATATCATTGATTGGTTGTACGAAGATGCCTCGCTCTCATAAGCGTGGATTTTTTTTATTTATTTTGGTCTATTTCCAGTGAAACTAAAAGTGCAATGTAATATCATCTGTAACATGATTCACCGGCTATAATAGAATGTTTTTACTCAAGTGACCAGCAGCCATGGAAACTTATTGGGACAAAGGAATGGTTTGGAACACCAACATGGCCGCCATTTCATCGTTTTGGAACACCAATATGGCGGACGTGACGTCATGTGAAAACGCTTTACTTCTTAGTGAAGTAGCAGAGTATTAGTGATCTCATTAGTGGTGGCAGATTACAAATGCTTTGGTCTGATATTTATTTGAATCGGGTTTGTACGAAGGTTTATCAGATCTGAGTCCCTTCAAATTATAATTGGAGATCAAGCAGTGGAGACTGGTGAAGGCCAATTTATTGGGAATGACGGCTTGTGTATCTGACTGGAAAAAATGGACTGTTTGTTGGAGATAACATCAACGTAAATCAGAACATCGGTATTGGACACTAGCTAGATCCGAAACTCCTTTTTTATTGGAAATTTAGCGGCATGTATTGTAGAGAAGTTTTCGACACTAACTGGCCTATGGAGAGCAGCCACAGTGCAAAACTCATATAGCTGGCGGAGTGACTTGTTCGTGACAAATCATTTCTCTGTGACGTTTTGACAAGGTTTCAGATGAAATAAAGCCACATAACGTTCAAAATTTAACTTAACTATAAAGAAAAGAAATTCCGCAGCAATCACGTAGAGTTTCAACCTTCTTTTATTGTAAAGCGTCTTTTCATTACATTTTTGCAATTGAGAGGGAATAAAGGAAATTTTTCAAATGTGGTAGTCTGTTCGTTATCTATCATGACGAGCTGTCAAATTACAAAAAAAAAGAATCGTAAAATATCAAGGGGCGTTTTCCAGAACCGTGGGGTTTGCGGGCAAGCGTTTCCTCATTTCCCCTCCCCTTCCCCATTCTTCCATCGCTCCCACTCTAACATTCGCGAAAACGCTTGCTACGCAGGCTAGCCAATCAGAAACGCAGAAATATTTTGAATAAATAATTTAAATAACAATTACTCCACGAGTGCGCGTTGGATATGAGTTGGCTATAATCATCTCATATCCTACAAGCGCGAGTGGAATAGTTGTTTTATTAAAAACGCCCACAAAATCTCGATGAATCGCCCCGACTTTATTTTGCAAGAACAAACCGGAAAAGACAAAGACTTTCGCTTTTCACATGTCACACGTCTATCAAAACTGTCAACGCGCGAACGGACCGGATGATAGAAAAATCAAAACATTATAGCGATGAACACTTTAAAAAACTCATCGGGATTCTTGGATTTACACAGCAGGACAGCTAAAAAACAAGCAGATAATGAGAACAAAAAGAATTTTGAAATGCAGCCGTCGAAATTCCTGTGAATTTGGATTTTTGGTGCAGTTGCAAACGTATACGTAACAACAATAGAGGAAAACTATTCCCTCGATCGCAACTCAGAAACTCATGCAAAGGTTGTTATGAAGTTGTTTGAAGCCGCAAGCTGGTTTTGCTTAACGAGAGAAGAAGCTATACTTACGCCTGGATTGCTGTAGTGAATAGCTGCTTAGCCTGTACTTATAGCTAGTTGCTTGTGATATTCTTCATGTCGGATGAACAGGCTGCATTTACCTATCGGCGAGTGGCTTCGCGATCATGAAGAAACAATACTTGTCTTCTTTCGTAGCTGGTCGAGGTTTTTCATGTATTTTCATGTGTTTTTCAATAAACTTTCAAACAAACTCTTGTGGCTTTTTTGTTTGTTTGTTTGTTTGTTTGTTTTTTTTTGCCGGTGAAATTGCTTTTTTTAGTATCTTCTTCGGGCTCCATTCTATCCTTCGTGAAAAAAATCTCAGCTAGCTTCCAATTTTGAACTGAGAGGAGCTGTACATGAGAAACAATACAGGTCCCAAAACAGACTCTTGAAGCACATCAGCTTACAGGACACGCTTACTTAAAGTCACAATACAAGTAATTCTTAGGATATACAAAATTTAATCATATATGGAACAATTTGCAATGGTGATTACTGATATTGTTCACCAAATAATTACCAAGTCCAAAAGATATATCATGTCTTTTTACTGAACAATATTCTATTCACATGATTCGTTAAATAGCCTATATATATATATATATCACAGAACCGCTTTGAAGAGGTTCAGGGCCGTCCACGGTTCGGCTTGGCGAAACCCGCCCCATTATAGTTTCATGATGAATTTAAAAGCAGTTCTCATGTTCTTATTCCGTCCAAAATAAATTATCGGATTAACAGAGGAGAGAATGGACGACATTGTTAAACTCCAAGGAAGCAGAATAGAGTGAACGCCTGGATATCGGCTTTGAAGTAACACCATGGATGCAGCTGGCGAGATAGAAAAGAAAAGCAAGACGGCGATAATGCACATGTCAAGTGCTACCTTCTTCTCGCGCTGAAATACTGTTGTCATCTGAGACGGAACAGCCACAGCCAGATGGGCGTTATGACGACGAATAAAGAACAGAACTCTCATATAATTGACAGGAGGAAGTATCACAAGCACCGCACCATTAATATGGACGAGAACTAGGCTTTGCCGAGCAGTCAAAACAAACTGGAATAAGATTGTCAACAGCAGCCACAAAATGGTCGAGAACAAAGTAACTTTTAGTACTCCTGCAAAAATGCAAAAACTTAGTTAAGACAGGCTATGTTAACACTATCCCGGATAGTTTTAGCGCCGAACGAAAACCATACCAGATAGGGCTCTTGTTCACACATAAGAACGGTGAATTCGGCGCGATTTTCTTTCAAACTTTGTCGCGTCTTTTGGACCTTTTTGATTTTACAAATGAAATCAATTTCTCCTAGGGCTAATTTTTAAGGACTTTATCCAGGTTCAAAAAGAGAAAATTCGTCGTAGTATGTTCACGTCCTTCATAAAACGTTGTCTAAGAAGGTTTCACTTCGAAGTCGTCCAGTGAACGTCAAAAAATTGTACTAAAAGGTCAGGATGCACGTGCAAAGCTATTGTTTTGCTAAAAAAATTGTTTTTTGACGTTGTTGTTTTCGTCTTCGTCTTCGTCGTTGCTTAAAGCTCCTTAATATCTCTGATAACTGATAATAACCTCACCTGATTTAGACACCTCAGTTATATACACCAAAGGTCTAGACAAGGCGAATAGGCGATCAAAACTGATGATAACAATGTTGACGAAAGATAAACCAACGGTAAAGAAATAGATAGTGTAATACACGTCAAACACCAGAACTTGATGCAGACATGACTGCTGGGCTCTTTGAAGAAAAAAACGCCACACGATAAACATGGGCTGAGCAGTAACTCCAGTGAGGCAATCTGCGGTGGCCAGGCTACACAGCAAAATGTTGCATTGCTTCTGTAAGGAGGGGGTCTTGATGATTGTAACAATGACGGCCAGGTTACTGAGGAATGCAAAGATGGCAGAAGATCCATTGACAGCAGCGAGTAGAATGTTGTTTATGAAGGCAGCCGTGTCGTTCCTCTGTATTCCAATCCAGCTTGGTAGTCCACAAAAGATTATCTCATTGTTAGCCATTTCGTCCTCTGTAGATTTAATGCACCGTTTTTCAATAGATTGAATAATACTGAGTATCCTCCTTGCCTTGAGTGAAAGCGAGGCTGGAGGTGACCTTATTTTTAAATGTAATTCATTTTCTTACGCGTATGAATGGTAATCAAAGTAAAAACTATGGGGAACTCGTGGATATATTGGTTAAAAAATAGAGAGGTCAGGTGATTTGATAAAATGTAATATTTACTTAAAGTTGAAATGATCATATACCCTAGAAAAACACGCGTATTCACAAAGTCATCTTCTAAAAATGGCCACTCAGGGATTCAGCTAAGATATTATTTTATTATTACTCCTTTTTATTATTATACTAAACCGGTGGGCGTATAGGAAGTAAAATATTACTAGCTAAGAAATACTTTTGCAGTTTTTCTTCCTTTGAGCTCAAACTTTGCAGGATGGTAGAACTTTGTATTCCAAAAAATCCTATTTTTGTGTTTTTCGATTTCAACGTTTTTTAGCAGGAAAATGACGTCACAAGTTTGACAGCAAATTATAAATTTCGAGCTATGGCAAAAAAATAAAAAAAAATTGAGAGAGCGTGACGTGATAGAAACAAATGTGAAAAAATTTTTTGAAAAGCCCAATTGGTTAAAGAGTTATTAAGCTTTAATTTTTGAATTTCCCGCCATTTTGTTACTATTTTAGAAACATAAATACATTTCAAGATGCTACATCTCCTAAAGTAACTGACTGAGTGACAAGAGTTGTTTTTCCTATACAAATCCTTCTACTTTTCGGCGGCCGTTGCAATCTCTACTCACTAGATATATGCTTCTGAAAATTTACAGGTTACCTAATTTTAATACGCTCTTTTCGCCTGCTCAGAAAATTTTCCACAGGCGAACTGTTTTCGTGTTTACATAAAGTTCATTACGTGATCGGCCCGGCATTGCATTTTGGTGTTTTGCATTTGTGGTTGGTTATGGGAGCTGCTGGTTGCTTACGAGAGGTGGTCGCATATGGAGGTTCGACTGTAGTATAAAGGATGCAAAAAGTTTGAAAATGACTCTATTATATACATGAAGACTTCTTTCTATGTAAAGCCAGCTCTTACGAGGTTTAAATCACTGTAACACTGTATATTTTTACATTAAAGGTAATTAATTTTTCTTATTATTATTTTCTTTTGTCAGGAGCTAAGAATTTGCTATGGCACTGATTTTAAATTGATACGGTTTGTAAGCACGCCCAATTGGGGCTATTTCCTGACGGCTGGGACAAATTGTCTATAATAATATTAGTTTCGACAAAAAAAGTCATAGGACAGGTTTACCTGACAAATGTAACCTTACCTGTGGATGAACGAAGCCCTCGTTCCTTTTCCAGGGATTTTAAAGTTTCACTTGTATGTTATCATATATGCGTACAGTCGTTGTTTTCGGGATGCTGCCAAGACAGAAAATGAGGAACTGGGAACAGGAAAATAAGACAATGGGAGCTAAACGGAGAAAGGATGAAAGGGATTCTGGTATTTCTAGGGATTAAGTAAAGTTTTACTCCCATTTTTATTTTCCCGTTCCCAGTTCCTAGTCTTCCGTTACCATTCTTCGTTTCCATAGTAAAAATACTTGTCAGCCCCCATTTCTCATGTGAGAGCTACCTTTCATTAAATGCTTATTTTGTTTTGAGTAGATTAGCATTGAAATTCGGATGGTACGATAACAAATCACGTGTAGCACAAGAGATTAAGAGGACTTTAACGTGTAGCACACTCTTTTGTACATTTCTTTGCCGTTGTTGTCGTAACGTTAAACTTCCTAGTTACACGTTTTATGGAGAAAACGTTGTATGCGTTCCTAAAAAAATTTTGTTGCTGTGTTCCTGTTCGCTTTTTTTTTCACTTCACTCATTTTCACCTTGCTGGCCACTAGCATTCCTCATTTTTCTCCTTTTTTTATCTCTGTTGCCCATTTTCTCCTTGAGCTTCGCTAGCCTGTCGCATACTACTTTCACGTTTTCTCTGTCTTTGTGGGTGGACATGACAATTAATCTAAGCTGAATACTTTAATCAACCCGGATATAGAAACAATTTCCGCTTTTCATTTTGTCTTTATTGACTCTTTTATGGTCTCTGCTTCACATGACACGGTTGGCCATGCGATTTCTCGCCAAAAAACCTCGAGTTGCATTTGGGTTGCCATACCTGTTGATTGAGTTATTTTACATTGGCATGCCTGTGGTGCGGACGGACGGACGGAAGGATGGACGTACGGTCACGTGACGACAAGTCACTTCCAAAAGTTCTCGGATGCATAAAGATAACCAAATTTTCTTACCTAAGGTGCTCCGCTATAAAGAAGGCTAAAAGACATCAAAAACACCCGAAAAAAAATCGGCACTTTTTTTTTTTATTAAAGTCAGTTATTATAATGCGTATTCACTTGCATAAGTTTATATTTCGCCTTTCTTGTTTTGTTTTTTGTTTTGGTGGTTTTTTTGTCTCGCCAGGCTTCTGGGTCTTTTGCTTACCTAGAACAAGCTAAAGCTCTTTTTTTGTGGGTCAGTTTTTGCTGAGACAAAGAGCACTTTAATTCAGTGGATTTCCTTTTTCAGTACATTTTAAATCCTGGGTGGCAAACATAACTCCTCTTGTCATTTAAATCAAACAAAGTAGATGTAGAAATCGCCATACTTGCTTTAATTTAGGGATAAATCAGTGTAAATAATGTAAATGCCGTGCAGGTAGATATCGACTTCTTGACAATCTATTTATTCCTAAACTATATTTCTTTACCTTTTTTTTTTTTCGGGCGGATAATGGCAAAAATAATAATTAGAACTTTGAAATCTTCTACGAAATTGAGGATTAAAATCACAATTACGTCGCCTCCCCTAAGAGATCCTTAGAAATCCGAGGAATTAAAATCACTTACATTAAAAGCTTAACATTTGAAAATACTCACTAGAATACAATTAAGTCCTCAAAGATCTAGTATTACTTTTTTAAATAATATTTCATAGAAATCCACGAACGATTTCTTATTTTAGTATGCAGTCGCAGGGTACGTAAAAGTCTTTGCCTACAAATATTCGTAGTCTAATATTAAAACGGTGTCTACCATGATCTTCAAAACCGATCAAGAAAATTTTAATGAAGGCGACATCTATGCAATTTTATGCTCTACCGTACAAAAAACATTTTCTGAACGTGAATCTGAAACTTTATTTACCTCCTCAATTAAAACAATCTTCAGTTGACAACTTAGTAAAGTTATCTTCGACTTTTTTTCACGGCGTATGACATTTAAAAGGGCAGTAATATTAGTATTACTACTTGAAAAACCACCTGAAGTGTTTCTATGAATGAAAATTTACTAATAGTGGCATGTTCTTTTTTATAGTAGCTACATGAAAACTGTTTACAATTGCAAAGGATGTATAGAAGACAGTGGACTGATACTTGAAAGCGTCTGGCCGACGTTTTAAAGATAAGTTGTTCCATTTGAGAAAAATATAGATCGGTGCATTTTCTAGGGTAGTTAGTACAAAGACTTGGGAGTCCTTTCCTGGTACTAACCCTTTAAAAATAGGTATAAATCAAGGGCACCCAACGACAATTTTTGGAAAATATCTGTTCGGAAGACGATTTGAGATCTAGAATTTTCGGAACATTTGTTGTTAAATTTCTTGCTTGCCCGCCTCTCTTAGGATTTTCGAGCCCCCCCAAAAATGATATAATTGCCCATTTTTAACGGATTTTTACCCTAAAAAGGTCACCTAGAATTTTCGGGAGCCTTTTTTGTGTCTGAAATTTTCGAAAAGGTAAGTTTTGATCCCTATAATTTTCGGATCACTAGACTTTCAGCTAGGAAATCCGAACAGATGAAAAATTTTTAGGGGATAAAAATATGCATATATCTACCGTTTAAATACTAAAATACGTTCAACATTGCTATGTTTAAGTGGTTTTGAACCATATTCTCGTTGGGTACCCCTGATAAATAGTTAATTTGATAAATTTAAAATATTTTTTACCTGGTAAAGTAGCGTTCTAAAGGTAAACGCTCGAACAGCAGCCTTTAGAAGGCCCCTCCTTCCGTGGCGGATTGTTATAGTTTCAACTATTATTCCGCTTTTATTGTCATTTAAATTGGCGAATTTTCAGGTTTTAATACCACTAGCTTTTCTCTTTGATCTCTAATACTTTCCTCTAATACATTATATCTGCCTTTTGTTTCTTCCTGAGGTTAGATTAATAAGTTCTTTTTCACATTTTTACCTCTCATGCAAATTTTCTATAGCGTACCTGAAATTTTAAAAAAAGAGTTTGAAATAAATTTAAAAAGCAATTTAAAAATGGTACAATTTGCAATTTATTCAGTGTTTCTTTGAAATATTTAATAAGAGAGAAGCGCGATGTGATTCATTGGTGGATCGAATAGCAAATTCTAGCGGAGCTCTCGCACGTGCGAAGCGCGCGTAGCGGAGCACCATTGGTAATGAAAATTTAGTTATCTATGCATCCAAGAAGTTTTGGTTCTGAGAAAATCGTACATTTGTCCTTACGTAAGTCCACCCCTTCATGTAAGCTGGAGTGGAATTTCGCATTTCAAGCACCCGCGCGTTTCGGCGGTACATCACCTGGCCACCCTGTTTTTTAATGACGAAATTTGAATGTCTACATTGACGTGGATAACAGAGAAAGATCTAGAACTAGAGATAAAAAACAAAGGAGACCAATTTCGCTGGAAGAAAAACATGAAAATTTTATAGCGGTGGTGAGAAAATGAGAAATGCTAGCGTCCAACAAGGTGAAAATGAGCGGCAGTGAAAAAAACGTGAACAGGAACACGGAAGTTTCTGGAAGTTTCACGTTGTAGTCGTGCAAAACAACGGAAAAGAAATGTTCAAAAAAGTGTGCTGCACGCGTAAAGTTGTTATTTTGCTAATTGGACCTATTGTTTTTTTTTCCCGTTTTCGCTGCCGTCGCCTCTCAGCATTACACGATTTTATATTTTGCTTGAGTAAACCATAAGCAAAAAATTTTCGTCAGCTAAATCTACATGTTATATTTAGAAAAATGGCGGCAAAATAGCAAGTGGATAGGATTCACCTAGGTCTGTCTTTGAAGCAGACAAAGTAAAGCACGACTTCCTAATTCTAGGGAATGCTTCTCCGACCTTTACCCTCTGAGATCTGTCTGAAAGGTCACCCTTAAGAAGGACCCAGCTTTCCACGTCTACGCCATAGACCTTGAGCTAATGGCCCGAGCAAAGGCCTTGAATAAGTTCATGGACACCACTGCAGCCAACAAGGCGATCTCGCAGTTGTAGAACTTCCTGTGTGAGGTACCATAAACTTCCGCTTAAAAGACTCGATTTTTTACGACGTTTTGAAGCTTAAAAAAGAGAGTAAATTCAAAGAATATTTTAATCAGCACTGCTAAGAAGCTTGTTTTGAAACGCTTTTTCTCGGTCCAGTTATAAGCCCCCTCGGATATAAGCCCTCCTAAAATCCCTTATGAAGTTGTTTAAGCCCAGGGCTTATAAGCGGAAGTAAACGGTTCTTAAGTACGAAAAAACGTTTCGGCAGAAGTCACCTATCTGAAAGGCTAAGAGTCTTTGAAAAGTGTTATTTAATGCAGGGATGACTAATTCAGATTTGTAGTTAGCTTTACAATATTTATCATCCGATCCTTCTTGAACAGTGGTGTGACCTGGGCCCTTGTTGTCGTTTGTCCTTCGAAAGTCAAAGATGACCATGACTTCGACCGAAGACTGGTGGTGGGTCCGTAGATGGCTAGTGAGGCCAATACGAGCCCAGAAGGCTTGCCCACACATGGGACATGAGCGTGTGGGTGCTACAATGGAGTTGAAAGTTGCTCTTGCTTTGGTTGCAGCACGTTTTCTCTGTTTCAGTGGTCCGTCGGTTTTCTGTCGCACGGGCCCTCTTTGGTGACTTTGCCACGCTAAGCTCGAGGATCCTGGCCAAGAGACTCCCAAGTACAGAGGTTAATGTCCAGGTCTTTGAGAGACTCTTTGGGAAGTCTTTGAAACGTTTCTTCTGCCCCCCAACAGAGCGCTTAACCCGACAGAGTTCTCCATACTATAGCTGCTTTGGGAAATAGGTGAAATATGCCCTTAACTAAGTCATACCCCGCCTCTCATTAAGCAAAAATTAATTTTAACCCCCCTCACATAATGATAATATTAAGACTAATCCTCCCCCTTCCCCCTCTTGAAAAAAGTCTCCTCCTATAGATTCCCTCATGCCTAGTTTGCTTGTTGGATTTCTTCCTCCGGTACAAACATCACTTCAAATGACTCTTCGACGTATCAGAATCAGAATCACGGGACTCTGAGCTTTTGTCGTCTTCCCATGAATTGGGAGATTCCTCATCTTCTACAGCATCTCTGGCACTAAGGTTCCCGCGTGCGTGAGTGAGAACTCAGGAATTCCTGTCTGATTGAGCTTTTTTTGAAGCTCAATTTAATCATACTGTGTTTTATTTACTATACTTTCAATTTGTATTGCTATTAAAATTTCAACAGTTGGGTTTTTCATTCTGTTAAATTATGATGCCATGTGTGCTAACATTGGCATCTTTCTTTTTCATTAAATAACATTATGATGCTACTTTTGCAACTTTTAATTATAGTTTCCTGTTTTATTTAAATCCTAGTGCAAATAAAGTAGTACTGTTTTAACATATATAACAGAGGCATTCCTTTCCTACTGCATGACAGATAGGAAAACAACAGTTCATAGATCAGGACACCTTAGAGTTGATAAATTTGTCAGTTTTATTGCAGTTAGTATTTATATTTGAACTCTAATAACTCTTCCACTACTTTTCCAGTAATGCCCCCCCCCCCTGTATGTATTAAATTTTACATCCAGTCTTCCTTCTCTCTTGTTGTCATTTTCTCCTATGCTCCCCCCTCTAATTTTCCAACCCCCCCCCCTCCCACCCCCAGGTAATTATTGCACAGTCCCTAACAGGATTTGTTTAGAGTCATCTCCTAATATATCTGACAACTAAGAATCACTTCACCTGACTCAGACACCTCAACAATATATACCAAAAGTCTGGACAAGGCGAAATGACGATCGAAACTGATGATAACAATGCTGACGAAAGATAAACCAACGATAATAAAATAGATAGTGTAATACACGTCAAACACCAGAACTTGATGTAGACATGACTGCCTGGCTCTTTGAAGAAAATAACGCCACACAATAAACATGGGATTAGCAGCAAACCCCGAAAGGCAATCTGCGAAGGCGAGGACACATGAGAATGTTGCAGGGTTTCTGTAAAGAGGGGGTCTTGATTATTGTGACAATGACGGCCAGGTTACTAAGGAATGCAAAGATGGCAGAAGATCCATTGACAGCAGCGAGTAAAATGTTGTTTATGAAGGCAGCCGTGTCGTTCCTCGGTATTCCAACCCAGCTTGGTAGTCCGCAAATGGTTGCTGTCTTAATGGAAGCCATTTTGTCTTCTGAAGATTTAATAAGGTTCCTTTTTAATAGACTGAACACAAGAATTACAAAATGTGAACATTAAAGAGCCATTTTAAAGTTATGTACCTAATACCCTCGCCTAGAGTGAAAGCAAGGCTGTGAGGTCGCAACATGACTTGTTTTTGTATCTTCCACACCTTAGAGGTAACAAAACTGGTTTCTGAAATGTGGGGAATGTTTCATACATTTTGAAGGTAAGGGATGTCTTTAAACGTAGCTGAAATATCATATTGATGATACAGGTTTTGAAGAAGAAGACAATCAAGAAACCCTATAAGCTATGTTTAAAGGACCAATGAATTAAATTTTCGTTATAGCCTAAGGAATGACTTTCAGGCATTTCTGACATAGTCGGCATGTTTAATAATAATCACCTGGCGTTAACGGACACGATTAGAGTCTTCGAACAAAAAAGTCCAAGCCTGCCCTTTTAGACATTGAATATTTGTACAACAGCTAAACAAATGTTTTTTTGTTATTTATGAAACCCACATGCCGTCATGTGAAAAACAAGCAATTAACACCACATTTCTCTAATGATATAACGTACATAGATGTACATGTACATGATATTAAAAGCAGAACGGGCTGCCAGATTTCTAAAGCTTGGGTTAACAAAGCTGCAGAATTTTTCCGCATGGCTGATCAAAGTCTACAAAATTTCTGAGCATGGGTTATACAGCTGGTTATAACGGAGCTTAAGACAGGATCACAAAACCGTTACTCCAAATCGTTTCAAGACGACATTGAAACACAAAATACAGCATAGCTAACTGCATTTCATTTCATTTCTTCGCTTTAAGCTTAGAAATATTTTCCCATAAGAACCCAGTGAATCGTTTCGTTACGCAATATTGCCATTTGTGTTAATTTAATAATTAACGCTCACAAATAGTGAGTTTGGGACATCTGTGATTTGCTTGGCTTTATAATTTGCGCGATATAAGATATTTTTTTCCTCGATAAGTTTTTGATGTTTTCTTCTCGCCCCAGTCTCTCTTTGAAATGAAAACGTTACCAGCAGTTTACAGAAAACAATTTATTTCCGAAACCCAGATTAGTTCCATAAACCTTGTGCTTATAGTCTTAAACAGCAAACGAATTAAATTAAATGATATCTAAATGGGTGTGGCAAGTCACGTGACTAAGAAATTTTATCATACTCAGGAGAGAGGGTGTGAACAACTGCTTTACAGCATTAGGATGTTCACCAGAAGGTCGGGGGGCGAAAGGAAGACCAGAAACTACTTGGAGAAGGACTGTTGAGATAGAGCGAAACAAAGCGGAGTGGAAGAGCTGGGAAGTAGCCAAAGCGGTTGTACATGACAGAAAGTGTTGGTCAGGCAGCGTGGAGGCCTTATGCGTCTACTGGTTCGATGAGACATGATGATGATGATCAGTGGTATGACAGTAAAAATCCAAACACAACAATAATTAGCCTTTTTGTACTTTTTTACTTCACTGATTTAACAATATTTCTATGAGCTACGACTGGAATTCAATGGACAGATCGGTTCCGTTTAGGTTAAATACGCATACTTATCAGCACTGCCAAATTCAAATCCGAAAAACATTGAAAAGTTGGTTTACTTTTTAAAGTTTACACTTTGCAATGCATCGTGCTGCCGTCTTTTAACGCAAGAACGGTAAAGACTTTAACGTCAGATCAGGAAAAGCCGTCTTGAAAGCCAATACTGTTGCACGCCATGAACACCTTTCATAATATACTTATGGTTTTACATACATTTAATGTCTTTTGACGAGAACTTTAAAAAGGTATCGGTGGGTGCAAACTCTTGAGAGTAGACTTTAGCGTAAATAACTTGTTATTTCGCTAAAATACATAGGAGGGTCAAACAATCGAAGGCCAACGAAAAGAAGACGAAGTTCTTTGCAGGAATACCTAATCTACAATTCACAAACTGCTCTTCAAACTATTTCTTCATTTAGAAAACCTATCTATTTAAAACTAGTTTTCAGTTACGTGACAGATAATAGCAAAAATGATAATAATTAAAACTTCGAAAGTAAGGATTTAAATCACAATTGCGTCGCCTTCTAGAAATCCGAGGAATTAATATCACTTACATTACGAGCTTTGCTTTGAAAATCACTGGAAATTATATAAGTCTGAAGCTCCAATGTTTTTCACCTTTGTTTTAAAGGTCGCTTTATTCATAAGCCGAGTTCCGTATGAAACCACAAACGATTTCCTTCTTTAACAATGCATTGAATTACTGGAATTAGTCCCAGCTTTAGTTGCAACGGCAGGCAGCGATGAGCGGCGACTGTATCGCGGGATATCCCCAGCCTTTGCCGCACAGATATTACACAATCCAATGTTAAAACAGTGTCTTGAAGACCAAAAGAAAAAACCCTACTATGAATGAACATGACGTCTTTGCAGTTTAATGATATTTGCAATTCCACCAATCGCTGTTAGAAGTGTAAATCAAATTTTTTGAAGGTACACCTGTAGCCAAGTATTGACCTTCTACTGGTAAATTATATAATCTTCGAGTCGACAACTTAAGACTTTTCTTCGACTTCTGTCAGAGCACGTGACAGTTAAAGGGGCAGTATTGCAAAGATCTCTTACTACTTGGAAATCCAACGGAATTGTTTATATTTACTGATAAAATGTTGGTAGCTATATGGAAACTTTTTATAAAAAGGGGATAGGAAGAAAGTGGACTGAAACTTGAGAGCGTCTGGCGAAGTTTTGGAGATACACTGTTTGCTTTGAGAAAAAATAAACAATTCACAGACCTATGATCTTGGCACACCCGGGATATTAGAAAAAGGATCAATGGTTCTCTTCAGTTGTTATTCAGGGACCATGTTCTACATCAGCGAGCACCCCTAATTAAAATTCTAGCGTATTGACGTGTTAAACCTGGAAGGCTTCTCCTGAGGATCCCCCTTGAAATAGTGTGACCTGTTATTTAACCGGAAGACGTAGGTAGTTAATGAATTTATTTCATACCTGATACAGCAGAGTTCCAGGATCAGCAGTTGTAAGAAGTCCCTTCCCTAGGCGGATCTCTCAGTAAAGCGCCAACTATTCCTCTTTTATTGCAACTTAAATTGGCGAATTTTTTTTATTAAAACGCTGCTTCTCTGTGGCCAATAAGGTCTTAATGCAACTGCTATTTCGCCACGACTCTGTTTGATCTTTAATACTTTCATTTATTGTAATCTTTTCGCCTATTGTTTCTTCCATGGGTTACATGGAGTTTTTAATTTTGCAAATTTATAATAAACTAAACCTTGAACACAGTAATTCACTTCAATACGCGGTGTCGAGTGTTAAAACGACAGGTGATAAACATCTATTGAATGGATAATTGCATATGATCGATTTTAATAGTCAATTTTAAGCTTTAAAGTTAAATAAACTTCAGATAAACTTGAGACCGAAATTCCCAATTTGATCTCTCCACCAAACTGCTCAGTTTGTGTTCGTTCTCTTGTCAGTGTTGTCATCTTTCGTTTAATATGGAATGATAGAGCCTTTCATGATTTGTCATGAACTCATTGTCGATTCTTGATTTGTGATTGACATGTTCATGAAAGGTTTTGAAAGGGTTTTGAAAGATACCGTGGAAAGAAATTATAGACGTTCAGAAAAAAAAAGACAGAACACAAAAAAAGAAAACTCCATGCGAAATTTAGTTTTCGCACGGTCTCCGAAAAAAAAAAAGAAAAAAAAATTTGTTTTCTTTCTCTTGTCTGTGTTGTCTTTTTTCGTTTAATATGGAATGATAGAGCCTTTCATGATTTGTCATGAACTCATTGTCGATTCTTGATTTGTGATTGACATTTTCATGAAAGGTTTTGAAAGGGTTTTGAAAGATACCGTGGAAAAAAATTAAAGCCGTTCAAAAAAAAAAAGACAGAACACAAAAAAAGAAAACTCCATGCGAAATTTAGTTTTCGCACGGTCTCCGAAAAAAAAAAAGAAAAAAAAATAGAGGTATAAGAAGAAAATCCCTTTGGCACTATAGTACGCTGCATGTCGCTGTTGCATAATTCTTGTAAAACATAGCAGTAAAAATGAAATCTTGAACAAGGAATTGGGAACCCTAGAGTACACAACTACAGACTAAAAAACTCAGCTACCACAATTGACATGTTAAAGGCATAAATTTAACTGTTCAGACATCATGGTAAAGTTTCATAGCATTTTTTAAAATTATGCGAATACACCCATCAAATCAAAGCCAGTCATCCAGATAGCCGCGATTTGGCTTTGAACATGGCAGCAGATTCGAATCTGAGAAATGAGTGAATATCGTGAGCCGTAGAACCCCGGAAGCTTAGGAAAAGGTAGAGCAGTAGAAAAGGGAGAAATGCTAAAGAAAAAGCCAACAGTAACAAATAGGGAAAAATGCCGAAAAAAAAATAAAATAAAACCTGACTGAGTCAGTACTCGAACTTGGGACAGCCCCAAAAGTATTTTATTTAAATCATATTCTCGTAAAAACGCTCGCGTAACATGAAATCTTGATTAAGGATAGATTTTTGATAGTAAAAAGCCTCAGCCAAAGTGCATTTCCTTGCACGGGAATAGCATATGGCCTACACAATCGTCTGCGAAGTGAGAAGCGATACAATGGTCGAAATATTTCGAAGCTGATGGAACCAAAATTAATCGCTTCAATTTTCTGTTAAATATATACATACATAAATAACAATTAAAACGGCAAAAGTTATCTGC